GACCTGGAAATCGTTTTCAAAAACGTTTATTAAAACTCAACGATTTCATTGCTCCAAACAATTTTTCAAGGGAGTAGTACACCAGCCCAGGGGAAGTGAATATAATATCAATTGTTTAGGGGGTGGGATTAATAAGCAAACTTGGAGCCCTAAGTAGGAAAAACATATATTAATTTACTATTGTTCTGCTATTGCTGCCCTTTGAAATCCCTACTTAACTCTTCTGAGGTTTGCTCGATTCATGGAATTCTGACCTGGAAATCGTTTTCAAACGTTTATTAAAACTCAATGATTTCATTGCTCCAAACAATTTTTCAAGGGGGTAGTACACCAGCACAGGGGAAGTGAATAATATCAATTGTTTAGGGGGTGGGATCAAGAAGCAAAGTTGGAGCCCTAAGTATCCTAAGGGAATTAAATTCAAACAATATTATTGTTCTCCTATTTATTGCTGCCCTTTGAAATCATTACTTACCTGCAACCCGAAACGACCACTTTTTTTGGTCATTTTGAAAACAACCAATTTTTTTGGCCGTTTCAAAAAAATACGGTCGTTTTATCTTGCAGTCAAAAAATTGGTCGTATACGTTTTTTTACGGTTTGCATACGGCCTGTATACGGTCGTGGTTCAAAGAATATACGGTCGTTTCAACAAAATACGGTCGTGGTTCGAAAAATATACGGTCGTGTCCAGAAATATACGGTCGTATACGGTGTCACAAATCAACTGCTTGATATGCATTGTGCATGATGTAATATTTGAACATCATCATAATTGACAAAAATACGGTCATTTAAGAAAAGACCATTTGAAATGGTCGTTTTAAAAATATACGGTCGTGTGAAGAAACAACCGCAGGTATCTCTTCTACTACTACTACTACTACGACGACGACGACGACGACTACTACTACTACTATACTACTACTACTCCTACTCCTACTCCTACTACTACTATTACTACTACTACTACTACTACTACTACTACTACTAATACTACTACAATACTACTACAATACTACTACAATACTACTACAATACTACTACAATACTACTACAATACTACTACTATACTACTACTATTATACCACTATACTACTACTACAACTACAACTACAACTACAACAACTACTACTACTACTGCTACTACTACTACTACTACTACTCCGGCGGCGGCGGCGGCGTCCTCGTCGTCTCGTCGTCGTCGCCGGGACTACAACCCCCTGGATACTCTTCAGACCCCCTGGATTGTTTGCTATAGGGGGGGTGTTTTTGCTAATTAAGATCCAACATTAGTAGCAAAAGCCCAAAGACAATATATTTAACAATTGAATCATTGTAATGATAACATTTGCAAGCACGACCCTCCAACCTATTATGAATAAAGGTTGTTGACTGCCCACCGCCACTGCCCACAGGTCGCCCAGCCACGTCTGACGCCTCTGGGCGCGCCGCAGCCGCTGCGGACGCGCGCGGCGTCTCATCGCCGTCGTCCAGACTGGTCGACGCGTCAAGCATCGCGGCGGCGACAAGTCGGTGGAAAGCCGTGGAGTTGTCCGTTCTTCTTTTTAAAGGGCAGTGTTGGCAGGGTTCTGTCTGTCCTATGCTGTGAATTGGTGGATGGTCCGGTTCTGACCTTACACGTTTTGCAACTCTTCCATGAGGCGAACGAGAATGGTGCTTTCATGTGCAACCAGGCCGAGGCAGCAGGCCAATGGGGCACGACAACTTGAGAAGTTCCACAACTTGGTTCTTCTCGGATCACTGAGAAGATCAAAGAAGGCGGCTGGTCAGTTAGCTGTCATGATTTGGACGTGGCAGTGGACTCAGATGTTGCGGTCTGCTCTGTGTGACTTTCCTGACCACATCTTTGGGATCATCTACATGAACATGCGCGCCCCTGAAGCACAAAAGGTCCGCGGAGAGCACCAAAACTCGACCCGCAGTCCCAGGGGCAAATTCAGAAGGTCAATATCGTCCTTTCGTGATTTCTTTGGCCACATCGACCAAACACCTCTGTTTCAGCATCAGCAAACGGCAAAACTGAGGGGCCCCTGCATGTACAGGTTGCTAGCGAGGGTATAGCTTCTTTCAATCCATGGGTAAATTCGGCTTGTGCAGCTATCATCTTCATGTAAAGCAAGCAACTTGTGCTGCCCTCACCCTGTTTTGCTGGTACTCCCTGAACCTTGTCCATAGCTCTAATGGGTAGCGTTCCCAGTGAAATCTCTTCCGCTGGAGGAGTAGCTTGGTCTTCCAGCATTTCTTGGGTCACTTTGGCCGTCTGAAGCCATTTGTCATCTGCAACTAGAGATGGAGCGTATCTTTGCATATGGGCAACACATTGCAGTGCCCAAGTGGTGTACAAAGCCATCTACTGGACTGCTCCCACACTAGTGGCTGATGGTCATCAAGATGTAGTGTACGTTCTTTCCCCTTCGTTGTCTCTTTCCTTCCTTTCTTTCTTTCATCCGGGTTAAGTTACAACACCCATTACACACCTTCCTTAAGGCGCCGTCCCAGGCATCCCAAGGGTCCCTTCTCAGCATGATGCATGTCCGTTCGGGTATGGATATACATTGAGCCCTGCCCATAGGAAGAGAACATCGACAAAACACCGGTCCAGTGGTGTTTGGATCAAACAGTCACACACGATCACTCACACACATCACATCGCTCACCTCCTCTCGACCACCTGAGCTACCCAAACGGCAAGCTGGGGCCGATCATTGTAGAAAAGGTGCGCGTACAGGAGCCAGCGGCAAGTTCAGTTCAGCTTCTTTCTTGATTGGGTCGTGACCAAGTGACTAAACTCTACCAAGACTTACCAAGCATTGCTTCTAAAGGGGTCACTGTTGGGTTTGCCAAGTGTTTGAGTTCTGAACCTGCAGAAAGAGACAAAGATGGTCACCATGCCACGGTCCATTGCCCTATCCAGCGAGCCCCGGCTGAGTCGTGTTTAAACAAGAAGCTACTAGTAACAAGATGTAACAAGTACATGACTACTAGGAACAAGAAGCTACTAGTAGCAAAGGGCAATACTAGTAGCTGCTACTCTCCTCTCTCCTAGTAACAAGTGCACTACTACTAGCGACAAGTAGCAATCTTCATTTCGAGCCGATCCTTTCGGATTGTCCGGCTTTTTGGGCCAATCCAAAAGGAGTCTTTACAACAACTCTTCACCAAGCTGTTTGTGAGAGTCAAGAGTCTTCAGTCATTGTTTGTGATGGCCAAGCGTAGACTTTACCACACAAAGACTCGCTGTCATATACTCTGTTCCACATTGTTCGACTGTTCGCACACTCTGGTTTGAGCCAGAAAAGACGGCCAACGCCAACGGGGCTCCCATCTTGATGAAACCAAGTGATCGGTCAGTTAGCACACAAAGTGATCGGTCCCATGAACTCTCTAAGGTGAGCCCTCCTTTGCGTATCCACCCTTCTTTGTTCACTTTTCTTGAGTCTCCTGACTCAAGGAGTTGGGGCGGATCGTACCAGTCTCAGAATATCTATTTTTGGTGCCCTTTATATGCTGCTAACGGAGTCCACCAATGTCTGGACAAACATCTGCTGATTGGTTTTTCCCCCGTGTCCACGGTTTCGGCTTCGAGTCAGACCGGACAATCGGCCATTGAAAACCGAACAACGCCATTCCTGGGGCCACTGGCCGTTCCGCGAGGCCGTGAACAAAACATCTTTGGGTCAAGCGATGCCGGAACAAACTGGTCCATCATTCACAAGATGAAAACACTGGCAATCACATCAAGGCTTTTGCATCATCAATAAACATGCCAGTCACCCTCCTTTTTGCATCGCAATCGATCAACAGCGTTCCGCGAGAAAATATATGAAACCAGTTATGAAACCAACATCTATGCCAGCCACCACCAAACTCCATCTGGAGCCAATTGTAGAGCTCGGTCCTTTGGCAAATGCCTTGGTCTGAGGTTATTCGACGGACACCCCTGACAGTCAACCCTCCGAAAGGCTCGTCGTTACGGGACATCCTGAGTCCCTTCCTTGCGCGTTGACTGTGCAAGCCTTGGGATTTCAACCCTCTTGCAGCTCAGACTATCTGACCATATCATGACTATATAGTTCATGCTGTTTGAAGCATCTTCCATTTGAGCTCAAAACGGCCTTGTCGATTCGACGAATGACCGAGAATGGCCCAAAGACCCCTCCCAAACGGGCAAACTGTGGCAGTCTGTTCTTGTCAAAAGCGAGGAACGTGAGCGAACATGAGCAAGCGATGCGCGAAAGCTGCTGACTCAGTCGCTTGTGAACGGCTTTCACGACATGCTCTGCCTCACCCAATCCTGAGTCATTTTTTCGATCGAAAACATCGCTGAAGAAACCGAAGGGAAGGAACTTGTGAAGCAAGACTTGGGAAAAAACTGGACCTGGGGCCTGGGGTGAATCTCTCCAGGTAAATCGCGCCTTTTTTCCTCAAGCTTGACATGGATACTCTTGGCCCTTCCATCTTTGGCAGTTTCTCCAAAAGAACTTCCAATTTCCCAACCGCGGCTCAGGAGCGGTAATCGTGCCCAGCCACAACGGCTCCAGGTTTCACTTGAGGAATCCACTTCTTCAAGTCCATGTCCACCTCAAATCGATCACTTGAAAAGGGTGTTGGAGATACTTGGAAATCCACACATCTTGGGGTGGTTCAATACGTTCAGTGGGGTTCAATACGTTCAGCGCCGATCGGCATCCGATCCGGTGCAGCACCAATTTGGGATCTTCTTGCCACCTGAATTTGTTTCGCACCCCAACATATCTTGCAGCAACCATGTCGTGTTTCTGGGCTAGTCGGAATCAATAGCAACCAGTTTGAGACGTCAAAGCAGCAATCACTTTTCTCGTTCCCTGTGGATTTCCAGACTTCCAGAATTGGAAGTCCTTCCTGGCTACCAGTCCCATCCAGCCAGGCCACTGACTCGAAGTCGTGCGCACCATCAATGAAAACCTAGACTGGAAAATGGCCTACTAGCGATGGCCTCCGACCTAAATGATCCCGCAATGAACAATCCAAAACGACAAAATGTTCAAGGAAGAGCAAGATGGCAGAACAAACCATGCTCCCTCATCCGAGTCGCCAGATCTAACTCCGTCAAGGCTGAAGGTTCAAGACCTCAACCAGCCGAGGCTGTCAAAGGGAATCAAGTTCATAAAAACGATCAAGAGCTCTCTGGAATCCAAAAACTGATCCTTGTACGTTCTCACTCCTTTTGCAGAATTTCAACCACTTAACTCTTCCTCTTGGATTTATGGAACACATTGGACAATTATGTGCAGTCCTCTTATTATGGGTAGTGGTATTGACTGCATCTTACAGCCATCAAAAACACACCTGGTCTGTTTTCATTGAGTACCCTCAATGTCCTGCTGCTTGCAAGAGTGCCCACAGGCACGACCACGGGACTCTTATTTTTCGTTTGAAAAACACCGGCTATGCTACTCGATCGCTGTGTCCCGCTGCTCGCGTCCCGCTGCTGCTCCAGTGGCTCGACGCCACGGTGCCGGAGGTGCAACGGCAAAGCTGCGCCCTGGAGCCAAAGCGCGAGAGCCTGGGCGCGTCCACCCGTCCCGTGGTGGCACCGGATGGTAAGTCGACGGTGGGATGAGGGTCTCAAGGTGTCTCAAGCTTCGATGTTTCTCCCCCGAAATCCTTCAGAAGAACAACATGGTCACTGTTTTTTTTTTTAATGCAGTCCTTAACACTTTTGCCTAACTGTTAGACTTTCAGACTGGCAATCTCCACATTTGGGATGGTTCGACTCTCCCTCAGGTCCCATGTGGGTCCGGTCACGAGGTCACGTGGGTCCCCTACTCCGCATCCCCTCGGCCTCGTGCGGGTCCGATTGAAGTTGGCGCTGTCTCCAAGGTCACTGGAGCCCAAGAGGATGGGCCTGGAATCACAATGGCCTCCAATAGGAGCAAAGGACGCTACTAGGAACAAGTGCATCGCTTCTAGTAACAAGAATTGAACTTAATTAGAATATATAGTTATATAATGACCTCCAACCTAATAGCGATGGCTTACTCAATGGCTCTAACCTACTAGTGATGTCCTCCAACCGAATAGGAACGGCGAGAGAGGCTTCGCAAAATGAACAAGAAACCATCTCGCCCCCTCCACTGGAGTTTGGTCTTGACGGACTGGAGGGCCAACAGAAGAATCACCACCAGAAAGAAGGGGCAGTTGTACCATTGCATACGGAATATGGTCAAAAGTATGCTTTGGATGCTGAAAAGATGTGAAGATATGTGAAGGTTTTCTTCCAAAGGCAGCAGGAGCCGATCTGCTGGTTTGGTGCGCGTTTCGATACATGTCCACTTTCCGAGGTTAAACGATTTAATTGTTTTCATATATTGTTTCTGACCATGTTTCCTCTTTATCGTATGAGTGCTCGATGTTTCCTACTTCAAGAACTCGGATGCAACATCGGCACATCGAAAATCGCTCCATTCTCTTCCTCGACCCGTGACCCACTCTTGTGCACGGGCCAAGTGAATCTTAGTCTGTTTTTTACACTTCTTCTAGCAAAAGCAAAAGGACAAAATAAGATTCCCTCCTCTTTTTGGTGGCAAGCGCCTTCCATCATACTCTCCAGGATATGGATCAATGCCTCAATGAGTGGCAACACACGCCAAAACGGCTGAATCGAAGATGCTGCAACAAATTCTCTCCGCACTTTAAATTGAGCACAACTGTAGAAACCTTCTTGAAGTCACCTAGCTAGAGACCCAAGACAGTTCTGCCTCAACTGGAGCCTTTCTTGCCCCAGTCTTGTGGGGCTCCATGCAAACGATCTCACCCTGCGGGTCCACCGTGTCTGCCGGGGTGCCCACGTAATGCAACCGTGGAAAGCGTGAGAGCAAGCCGTCAGCCACATGGCCCAGGTGCGTTCCCACCTCAACCTGCAAACTGCTCGGAGTGACAGCTCGATTCCTATCGTCTCTGACACAAAGGCCATATTTGGACCTAATCGGTCTTGAAGAAACCATAGGAAACCCATGGCCGTTGATTCGATCATCAACGGCCGTAGATCAGATCAAGATGCATGTTCAGACCTGCCATTACACCACATGGTTTTCGCCATTGAAAAAAGAGACTGGACGCCTTTGCATGTGTGGTCTTCTCGTCACCGGAAGCAACCGTACGGGCACGAGGCTGGTAGGTCGTGGGATTGTCACTAAGCAAAAACATCAGTAGACTTCGCAATGCCTTCTTCGGACTCCCTGGAGCAGAACACGTAGAATTCAAGTTCAATATAGGTTCCAACATCTTCCAACATATTTTCCTATACCTTGTTTAAGAGGCCACCGCCTCGTGAACCGACCGGCAAGCCCCCAACTGGATGCCCCGCCATGTGGAGATCTTGGGGCCCCATCGCTCGCAGCAACGCACCTCAAACGGCACATCTAACGACGGCACCTCGCGAGTCGGAACTTGGAAGATTGACAAAGGATACGCTATAGACGGATATGATATGATTTGTTTCTATTTGGAGTTGTTTGCTGCGAAGGCGTAGATCTTTGGAGCTATGCTTATTTGCTACTATCTTGACAGAGGATCATTAAGTGCAAGACCTCAGGCTTACAAGGTTGCAATACAAATATCTGCCCGGCTTGGAGCTTCGGCCGCCAAGCAATTTGGCCGATTGCTTCACATTGATGGTTTTTTTTGCCTCACACCAAACCTGCCTTCTTTCATTCGCAAGGACACCGAAAGCCGTGAGTGGGGACGCGAGCTCATCCCAAACCTTTCACAGTTGGGTGACACATCATGTGCAGGCAGTCCAAGATGTGTCAAATTGTGTCAATGTGATGTGGGCAGTTGGGCCCAAGGGTGGTCCATACGGACAACGACCCACCAGGCCCACCGTCATTATCATACCAACCAAGACACAACATATGGCAACTATGAACTCGGTGGAAATGGCAAGGACGCTTTGCCCATTGTTGTCGCGGCTTTGGCATTCTCTTCCCCCCCTCCATCCTGCTCCCCGAACCGAATAGCCAACCCTTCAGCCCTGAAGACCAGGCCGCTAAGGGTCTTTATCCTCAAATCATCCTGGGTCCGGACTTCACCTGTGCACTTCGTTCTGTGCAAGCAGCGCTTGTCTTGTGTGCATGAACCAGGTCCAACACTGAAGGATACTGAAGGTGGTTGGTTTCAGCTTTTCTATTTTGTTTTCGACCGGTTTTCAAGCTCTCATGTTCTCTCCCCACTGAAGAGAAATATGACCAAATCCTGCTGGTACATACGTGCGTCTGCTGAGACCTAACACGACCTATCTTGAGGACATCAAACAAAAGGCTCAGGCCTTCTGCATTGGATGGAAACTGCGGCAGTGGAGGGCTATGGTGATGAAGCGTCGCTGGTGCTTTGGGAGCATCGAATTGCCACAGGACAGATGCTTCCAATTGGTCTTGTACCTCAAAGAACTTCAGTGAGATGGATTTTCCGACCGACGCGTCTTCGCCTGCTTAACAGGCTTGACACGAAGACCCCCAAACTCTCATCTTCGAACCGAAGCTAACGGAAGTAATCTAACTTTCTCCAATTTGCTGTTGTAAGCTTAGCATCAGGGAAGCCACGCGGCTCAAATATCTTCAAACACTTCTCTCTACACGTAGCACGACACCTGCGCAGCGTGCCAACTGCAAGCAAGCTGCCAAGTGAGAAGAGACAGCCACTTCCTCAGTCAGGTGGCTGGTGGTAACTGGTGGGCAGGTGCAAACTCGCTGAGTGCCTGACCACACCTGACCACCTGCTTCTGTGAAGCATGGCTTTTGCGTGGGGGTTGATGCGTCACGTGACTTCCCCAGGCGCCGCAGTTGGAGGAAAAAGGAGCGCTGCAGTTGGACGTGCTTGGCTTGGAAGAGAGAGGCATGTGCCATTTCGCCGAAGGAGCATGCTCGCCAAGCAGAACGGTCTTGCTGGAAATGCATGCTTGCGAACAGGATGGCGTTGAGAGGTGCAGTCGCAAACGCGTTCTCTTCCTCACAATTCCAGCCGGCCTGCAAAGCAAGCTTCTGCATTCTATCCCGAGCCGCGTGCGCCGCAAATGCACTGCTTATGCGCTGCTGATGCGCCGCTGGCCCTTGCTCGCCTCTGGCTATGACTCCTCTCAACTTGATCTTCTCTCCATCTTCTCTCCCATTCCGTAGTGTTGGAGGCAATTGCTATTGGTCTGGAGGCCATCGTTTTTAGGTTGGAGGCCATCGCTTTAGTCGGTTGTCACAAAAAAAGTCTCATCCTGGCAGGGATCCTTGGAGACCCAGGTGAAGTCATCCGGTCATTGGTTTTGGTCGTCTAGTTTTGTCATGCCTTCGACTCTACTTTTGGAAGATCTACTCAAGCTTCAGCATGTGGGTGTCTCAAAATAGGAGTCTGCTTCCAGAACATTGGAATAGGAAGAGCAAATCAACACCCAGCAGGTTCCAGAAATGCGAAGGAGACACGGCTATAGCATCTTGTACAAAAGAATGGTTGGAAAATGTTTAAACAACACATCAACCCAGCAATAACAAACTGCACACAGCCACAACTTTTCATGGTGGTGCCTGCGGTTCCCAAAGACACAACTTAGCAGTTTGTGCTGAGGCGGCTCTGTAATTGGCAACGATGCTGATCAAAATAGAAGGGATGCACTAAGAGATGCATTTCCATTCGCCAAAGATTTGACTGTTGGTTGTTCCCCCAGTTGTCCTCCCGGACCGCCATCATCCGCGGGATCAAGCACCAAGCTTCTGCTGTTGCTTTGGTCAAGCGCTGGTAGAGCTTGTAGCACCACAATGATTCACGACATTGGTTTGGAGATGGACTTAGATGAAGGCGAAGAACAAATCTCTCAAGATCTGTTGCGGCCGTAAACCAAACCCAGCTATGTCGATCATTTTCTATATGTACCACTCAGAGTCTTAGGGGCTCGAGAAAACTTTAGCTACACCAATTGAGGTTGTGTAAAACCCCTCTTTCCCTACACCATTCTTGACGTTATTAATTTTCCTCATCGCTTTACAGCACTTTGACTAACTGCAAAAAAAGGCAATATAATGTAGAAAATTTGATCGAAATTGCTCGTAGGGAATTTGGGTTTGCGTGTCAGTTAGTCCTCCCGAAACTATTCTGAAGATCAAGTCGATGGTGAAGGTCTTCCCAAAGACCAAGTGCGGAGTTTCTGAGAAACCACTTTCAAGGAAACATCGCTATTTTAATGGAGGCCAAAGCTACTAGGTTGGAACCCATCGTTTTTGGGTTGGAGGCCAAAGCTATTAGAAACACCGAGTCGCAGCTGCATACATAGGCCCCCAAGCAAGTGATGCAGAATCTCAAGGCCAATATTCATGCAGTTCCTCAGAGCAATGGACCAAGGTAATAGCAATCGCCACCACCCTACTACCGATTGCCTCCACCCTAATGGCGATGGCCTCCACCCTACTACCGATTGCCTCCACCCTACTAGCGATTGCCTCCACCCTAATAGCCATGGCCTCCACCATACTACCGACCTACTACCGATTGCCTCCACCCTAATAGCGATGGCCTCCACCCCACTACCGATTTCCTCCACCGTAATAGCAATGGCCTCCACCCTACTGGCGATAGCCTCCAGCCTAGTAGTGATGGCCTCCAACCCACTAGCGCTTGTCTCCAACCTAATAACGATCCGTTTGGCATTCGCTCAAAGCTTGTCTTCATCGATTCGGTATAGCCGTATAGCCTTTCCTGTATTCTGCATGGATGGCTTGGTGAGGAACCACTGACGCCTTAGGGAAAACCACGAGAATAAGTTGGACACACGCCTTTCGTAATTTTGTTAGAGTCGTAGTCGTCGAAGTCCAGTGCCCTTATACTTAGGTTAGAATTGTCTGTAGTAGTTATAGTCATGTCAGCACTAGCAACGGTACTAGTGATTAGTACTGTGTGAATTGTTGGGTGAGTACTACGAACATGGTTCGGCATATCAATGCGGCCCTTTGGAATTCTTTGGATAAGGGATTTTCCTTTCATAACGGCAGAAAGCTTCTAGGTTCGAGGCCCTCGCTTTTAGGTTGGAGGCCATCGCCTCTACAAACATGGTTGAACAACATCTGAATCAAACATGTTCGATTGCCTTCATTGCATGGCTTTCATTGCCTTCATCACACTTGACTTGGACATCTCCAAGGGAAGCAAGGGCACACCCGAGAGCTGACTTGACTAGAAATGGCTACACAAATTCCTCTTCCCAAGCTAAACGCAACATGTGAATCATCTAGGTCACTGTGAGATATCCTCAACTTCGCATGTGAACGCTGCATTTGCAACATGCTCAAGAAAAAGTATAACTAAGTAACAAGTGCGACAAACTCCTACATTCAGCTTGCGGAAAGAAGACAAGAGACGACTTTCCACAGATGCTTTCCCCAAGTTGAAATCCACAATCTAGATCAACAAGAGAGGACCTCGTCATTTTTGCCTGTAGTTTGATGGCATCGCTTTTGGGTTGGAGGCCATCGCTAGTAGGTTGGAGGGGAGCCTTCACTGGGACTCAAGACTGGGAGTCTCCACTGCTTCTTGAAGAAGCCCTTCTGCACGAGGCAAACGCAAGGGGAACTTCGTGACGAGATCGCCTGAGCTTGAATCGGCTTCGTGACGAGATCGTAAGAGATCCCGTAGCTTCTTGCTCCTAGTAGTAAGGCCAGGAGCCCCTAGTAGCGTCCTTGCTCCTAGTAGCCTTGCCCTTTGTTCCTAGTAGCTTGATCAGTGGTTGGTTGCAAAATCATTTACTGCGGTCCCGGTTTGCCAAGATTCCCGCATGAAGCAAACCGAACTACCTTTGTCTTTCCTTTTTCAAAGTTTTTAGCTGCACTGGTCTCTGCCTTATCCGAGACCAGTTGGTGATGCGTCGGGTCGAAAGCGGTCGAAAGTGGTCGAAAGCGAGCGCAGTTTCGACGTTTCGATGTTTCGCCCGACCCAAACGATTCTATGATTCTCAAAAAAACGTCACTCCCACAAATGGGGAGGTCGAATTCCTTGGGATCTGAAAATTCTTGGGCCGAACGCGCCCAAAAGCCGTGAAGACGTCTCTGAATACCCCAGCAACTCTCCTGCTGTTACCACCAACATGACTGCTTTGAGCATGTGTTTGACCATGTTTGACCCATAGACCTCCGCAGCACACCATTTTGGAGTCGAACATGGCCCAGCTGCGGATAGAACCTCGAACTTGCTGGCAAATGAAGTCAAAGCGCTCCTTGGAATCGGGAGCGAAGCACAGCGGCGAAGTCCGAGAGTGATCCATGGGGAGCAAGCCTGGAGAACGAGCCCATCGCTTCTAGGTTGGAGGCCATCGCCAGTCGTTTGTGTTTTTCATTTTGAATCATTTTGATACATGCATTCATGAGGAGGGATAGCTTCGAGCTGCGCAGGGAACTGCTTTTGTTAGATATCATCCTGTACCACATAGACAGCGTCCCAGCTCAATCTGGGTTTCCTTTACAGCTCGAACCAGAATCACGACTCAGAAGCGCCAAGAGATGTAGGTCTTAGAGTCTTCGAACCTTAGCATATTTGTACGACAGGCTTGTAGCATCCAAGCAGCACAGTTGCTTTTCACATGTTTGCACATCATTTTTGCATCGCCTGCGAGTGGTCGCGCGTTCTTTTCGGCCAAGCCACAATCGCTTTTTGTGTTTCTCGAGGGGCCAACACCGTTGTTCGATGGCCTCCCACTTAAGAGCAAACTAAATTAGATCATTCATGTTGTTCCTCTTTGTTTCTAATAGCGATGGCCTCCAACCTCAAAGCGATCGCCTCTAACCTAGAAGCGATGGCTTCCAAACTTACAGCGGTGGCCTCAAGCCTAGAAGCTATGCCTCCAACCTAATTACTACCGATGGCCTCCATTATGCTGATGTGCCTACTCGTGTGCAGAATGTCGCATTGAACAGCTTTTGGCTTGCCCAACAGCTCTTGGCGATCTAACACAAAGCCTTTGAAGAACATGTTCGAGTTCGAGTACCGCAAAAGCGCACGGAAGCGGTGTATGACAGCAGGCCCCTCCGTTGGGATCGGTCCCGCTGAAAGCGGCCGACAGATGCTGCGTCTAAGACGAACTGATTCCCGTCGGCGACGCGTCTCGGCGAAGCGAGTCGGAAGAATTACTCCTTTGAGTGGCAAACAAGTTGCGAAGAATTTGCCTGTTCCAGCACCACCCAATGAATGGTTTACAGACCACCTGAAAATGTATTTTCCATCCAAATACAACCCTTTGGGTGGTGCTGGTTTTATAGTTGTATAGTTTTTTTCCACAACTCTAGGAGCTCCAAGCCGCAAGGCCTGTGATCCTGGCAAGAAAAGTATACTCTTAGTGTACTTGTACTGTAAAAAGCCTGACGAATCATGTACGCTGGGTCCCTCAACGCTCGATTTCGACGTTGTTTCCAAATGGAACAATCGAACTCCGTTCTCCACCTCCTTTTCCACTTCCAAGTGTCAAGGCTGTGGGCAGTTGGGCAGGCTACAGCCAATTCTTCGGCCAGGACCACCAGGTGCATATTTAAACCTGAACGCACCGCATGGTTCCAACACAGTTCCCGCATGATTCCCACACGTTTCCGTCGGGTTTGGGGATGAGGGCTTGGAAACGTAAAGTGACTGCAAATGTATCTGTAGTGGCTAAGCCTTAGTATATATATATAGCTTCGCTGTGACACAGACGTTGTCATCCACTTTCGAGGACGTGGGATCACGTTGCTCATGTTCGAAACACAAGATAAATTATGTGAACGCACAACGTGTTCGAGTCTGGATGTACGAGGGGGAAAGCCCTTTAAGATCTTCAAAGCGGGCCTAATTAACAGGGCCCAAGTCTACTGTTTTTTGGGTTCACTAGGTAGACGAAGAGACAATTCGACAAAAAAGGAAAACAAAAACACATGTCTATAAAGGTTCAAAGAAAAAAAACAAACAAGCAAAGGAAATAAGAAAAGAGCGAACAGAAAACAGAAGGGGCCATACTGGGCCCAAGTCCACCTTCTTCTTTTCATTTTGTCCATTTCATCTTCGACCAGATCACCTTTCCGTACGGCTACAGGGGCGTTCCATGGTGAGTCATCGTTATGCATCATCGTTCGTCGTTCAATGCTTTTTGGACGCCAAACTCTGAGTCCAAAAAGTCCTGTAAAGCAAGACAAGGAGGGAAACGTCATGGAGAGAACTCCGTCGACGAATGAAGGACACCACTTTCTCTGACGTTACAGTTCATCTGAGGCCATCGCTTCTTGGTTGGAGGCCATCGCTTCTAGGTTGGAGGCAATCGCTTTAGGTTGGAGGGAAAAACAAAAAAGGTTTCAAGTGGAGGCACGGATCAAGACCCTCTGTTGCGAGATCCGAAACGATGAGACTCGATTGAGAAACGAGGAGACCAGGAGTTAGGTGAGGTGCTAAAAACATGTAAACCAGGAATGCCATGGAATGCCATCGACTCCAACCAACTCAGTAAAAGATCTCGCAACTACCCAGTCTGAGATGTCAGTCGGTGACACAGGAGGATCAAAACACAGCGGCCGGCAGGTGAAGTCAATAAAGTGCTCGTTGATTCAGCTTCTGATTATGTGCTCTTGAGACTCTCTCTCTCTAAGTGGGTGTTCTCAGCCTATCTGGGTGCCGCTCCGTCACCTGCAAACGCCGCAAGAACTTGAAGGGGAAGCTCCAAAGGGATTGGCAGATTTGAAGCCTCCGCTTGGTAGAGGAACCCCTAAGGCAAGAGCGACGAGACTCTCGAGAAACGAATATATCTGGCACAAGTTAAAATTAGCTGCCTTTTCAAGAAACTTGCCGTTATGGCATCTTTTCCCGTCCATGATGGATGTTGAGCATATGTTTGAAACCCCTAGCATTTTTAATGCGGTGACTTTTCACTGAAAACACATCCGGCAAAAATTGTGCCGTTTGAAGATCCAGGTACACGAATACACATAATGTATATTCTATCCAGTTACAAACCCCATCAAACACATTCATACCCTATCCTCTTTCCTGTGCCACTTTTCTTTTTGTCTGTCACCCAAGAGTGCCTTGCCGGCTTTGCCTTTGATGATCTTTGATGTTCCAAACTCAAATTGGAGCAACATGTTCGTCACAAAGCAAGAACCCCTGAGGATGAAAGTTCGAAAGCTCACATCGGTCAGGTCGAAAGCTGCCGATTAGGTCAGGGATGTCCTGAACTGGGCCTCGACCCATATGGAAGAGGATGTGCGCCCATTGTGACAATGACCCCGTGGTTTTCACAGCGCCCGTTGTGACAACGACTACGATCTGATTCTTTTGACATGAGGACTTGAATTGTAACACTGTGCACTTGTGCAGTGAGCCCTTTAATGATGTGGAGAGCTCCGCCAAACTCAACGACTTGAGGTCTCACTCCTACCCCTCACAGCCTTTCCATGTAGTGGGGTGCTAGATAGAGGGTGCACCACAAACACTGTACAACACATGCATGCTGCAAACATGAAAAAACACAAAGCTGGATACCAGTCTAAAACACGGTATGAAACCCAGCCGGTAGAGTGAACAACTGCCCTCCAAAGGTGAACAAACTCGAGCGTGGTTGGAGTAAAATCGGGTGGTTGGACCGTCCGTTTGGCCGCTCCAAGGCGCTCGCGTGGCGTTCCGGAAGCTCAGCTCTGGTACCTCCCAGTCGATCTCGCAGGGGTCCATGACCAGTGGTGCCTGCAGTGCCTTCGTGCCATGGAAAGAGGCAAAGCAGTAAGAATGCTCTGTTCGTAGCGATGCCCTTTGCTCCTAGGAGCGTCCTTGCTCCGTTCGTAGCGATGCCAGGAGCCCCTAGTAGCGTCCTTGCTCCTAGTAGTGAGGCCAGGAGCCCCTAGTAACTAGCTTCTTATGTGTTTCTTTCAAAACTACTCTGACAATTGGTGTGCTTTCGCTGGTGACCCAATATGTGATGTTATCTGGTCACAAATTCAAAAACGTTTTTGTGAACACTCCGTGTCAGTTGCTGATCTGTGACCTGCATATTCTGGTTCCAAATGATCCACTGAGTGTCATGGACGCCCTATGAGATGGCTGCATCCGAAGATGAACAACACCTGAATGAAAGTGAACTCTCTTCTTTTCCTAAACATCTAGGAGCCAAATGAATAGTGCGTGAGCTATCCTGCGTCCTTCCGAAAGGAGCGTCTTTAGTACCTATATATTAATAGAGCTTTTCAACTAGCTTCTTCCTATAGCGGCCTACCAAGCCTGCCCCCATCCCTCCCGGTCTTGAAGCGTCGTGCTTTCTGGGAGGGTCCGCCGGGCGCCAGGGCGCCCATGGCGAAGTGATTTGGGGTGTCGATGAACCAAAAGGCGGCACACATTTAAAAAAGAACACCTTGATTTGCGAGGCAACATCTGTATGCACTTAAAAGAAAAAGAAACCAATATATTATATATACATATATATATAACATACGTATACATTCTACATGTTAAATCACATTAAATCAATAAAACACAATATATAAATCTATAAATATGTATTAGAGGCCATCCCTAAAATGTTGGAGGTCATGGTTTGTAGGTTGGAGGCCATCGCTTTTAGGTAGACCAGGTAGGCCATTGCTATTACAGTAGGTTGAATGCAGGCAACCTCTGAATACACACACACGTTCATGTCGTCGCTGCTGCATCCCTTGTTTTCCTGGAGGCAAAGTCCTCGTGTGTATGCGGACCACTCGGGCTCGTGGGATTCGCCAGCACATGGTGGGAACTGTAGTGCTGAGCCCACTCGGACCACCAAGTGCAATTTGTGTTCCGATTTTGAGCTATTTCAATTTGCATGTCTGCAGTCTTCAAATGAAATTCACCAGATTTTGACCATAAACATCACCTCGAATGTCCAGGCCGGTCACGAGAGCACTGCCAACGACAGGTCCAAGAGGTTGCTCCAAAAGGCAGGGCGCTTGAAACCGAAATTGGAGCGAAGAGCTGAAAGGCTCAAGCGCTCAACTACTTAAATTACTGAGCTCAACTTCTTAAATTACTGGGCGGTGGGCCATAAGCAACAAACTCGCAAAAAAAGTGCTTCGGCTGCACGTTCACATCTTATCAGAGATCTGCGGTTTTGACCCACTCCCGACGCGTCGGTCCTGGTCTGGTCTCCAGTTGCCATGGGCCGACGCGATTCCGCGAGCGCTATCGTCAGTAGCCTCTCATCAAATGGCCCCTTATCATTTAAACATCAAGTTAAACTAATTAAGTAACACGAAGGAACATAGACACAACATGAAACAACATTAGTTTTTTATATGGTTTATGACGGTTTATCTCTTATTATATAACAACCATTTAACGCACAGGTCCGATCTCACCCGGCGAAGGGGACGATCGACGAATCGTCTTTGAACACGGCTGGAGACCCGTCAGAGGCCGTCAAAGGGTTATTGCGCATGTCCTCTTGGGCCGCAAATCAAAAGTGATTTGCATCACACAGCCCTTGATTTGCAGCCCCTTGCTTCAATGGAACTATGCCTATGCCTTACCAGTAGAAAGAGGCCGCTTCTTGCAACAAAAACATGTCTTAAAGGGTAAAAATCTGGTCGATGATTTATGTGCGGGTTCCGCCTTGCCGAATCCAAAGCGGCTTGCCTGTGCCACGCTCGATTCCGCACAAACACCAAGACCTGAAGTTCAACAAATACTCAAACAACCCAATAGCAAAGTTATCTTCTCTCTAGGAGCAAGGGCGTTACTAGTAGCTCCTGGCCTTACTACTAGGAGCAAAAAACTACCAGTAACAAAGGGCATCGCTAATTACTAAAAAGTTTCTAACAGCAATGGCCTCCAACCTACTACAGCCCATTGTGGGATTTCGACGCCCGTTTGCCCCTGGTGGTTTCGGCTTCAGGTCTGGCTTCACTAGCGTTCACCGGATGTCCAGTTTTTCAAAGGCCGCGATGGTTGTTGCACTCATCCTGCGCAGCGGCAATACCTGCAACCGCGTCGGCGAACCTCCTTTTCCGCCCGGTCTTTTAAGACTGCGTGGTGCCCGAAGAAAACCAACACCAATACAAGCTTGCTCCTAGTAGCGATTCTGGGGGCTACTAGTAGCTTCTTGCTCCTAGTAGTAAGGCCAGGAACTACTAGTAGCGTCCTCGCTCCTAGCGTGTTCGTCTTCGTCTCTGGAAGTTTTTAGAACTGTTCTTTGCGCCCTGTACTCCTATCCATGGCCTTTTCGTCAAGAAAAACACCCTACCACATGTTCGGAAAAACACACACTTAAGATGAGTGCTCCGCGGATCTGTGTTTCAGAGTTGCACGGTGAGCAGAAGCACTTTACGTTACTGCATTAGCCAATGAATACTTAGCACTTGACTTGATTCAACGGCATGAAGTGATGGGTCCGCTCAACTGAATGTTTTAACAGCACTCATTGGCCCTTTACGATATGTTTAAACAGTCAGTGCAGGTATGTTCCTGAGGCGTCCCTCAGGAATATCACAGTCTCAATCCACCGTCTTCGTTGGGCAGTGGATGGTGAGAGACTCACTGCCCCCCTGCTGGGAAATGGTGCAGTCTGAATTCAAGCGGCAGAGAAGAAGTAGGTAAGATAGAGCCCCTAGACACGGGGTTTGACACACACACACACACACACCACCATCATCATCATCATCATCATCATCATCATCATCATCATCATCACATCCATTCCTTGGCCCACTTGCTTTGGTCCACAAGCTCCAAGGCTCAATGGTGTCAACAAATTGTAGGCCAATCTGGTTCGGACCGCGAATCAACCTTCTTCCACATTGACATTCTGGAAACACATCAGCAAGTGAACAACAATGAACAATCCAACGACACGCTTGGTAAACGAAACACCGTCTGCGTTGTCTGGGTCTTGGCTATTGATCACCAAAGGCTTCAGTGCGCTCCAGTCTGGTCAAGGTTGAGAAAACACATTCAGCACTTCCGCCAAACAAAGACCTGCTCATGGACCCTCCTAAGGTCCCGGTCGGTCTGTGAACGGAGCGTTTGGGTTTAGAACCCAAACCACGGCTGCAACCGATGTCTCTTTTCGCAGATTTCATCCCTTTCGCAGGACACGGGCACTTCTGGGTGTACTGGAACCATTCGTTCCATACGTCCGCCGCTCCGGAGCTCTTCGCGAAACTCACCACCTCAGGTAGGTTAGGGCTAGAAGCTACTGCTAGTAATTAACAAGGTGCCTTTGTAACAAGCTACTAATAGTGGGAAGAAAGGTCTGTAGTTTGCTCTTAGGTTGGAGGCCGCTATTGGGATGGGTGTCTCGACGCGTCCCGGGACGCACTCGTCACATCGGCGAGACGTTCAGCGATGGGTTCACATCCGTGGCGCAAGAAGGAAATTGCTGGGGGATCCTGATGAGGGTGGAGGATTCAGCAGGTTACTTGCCATCTGTTCTTGATGCACCAACAGGCTCGCAGGTCTGGAAGCTGGTAGGAATCCCCCCTTCTACGCATGATGAACTTGAAGTGCAGGTGTCCATCTTCAAGGGATACCTTTTTTCATCCTTTTTCCATGGTGTGGGTGTCTCACCATCCCTGGCTGACTCCTATCTCGCCATCCGTTGAGATGATGACCGCATCAAAGAAGCTGCCAGTGGAATCCTGAAGCGGACCGACGCAAGGCCTCCGTCTTTCCTGAATCCAGATCAGTTTGGAGGAACCGGTCGGGCGCTGTTTGGAGCGTCGCACGATTTGATGTCAACATGACGGGACCTAAAGGACAGGAAACCTCACAAATCGGTAGACTGGCATGTTTGAAAAGGGGCTTTTGTGGCACACAGGAAAGAAACATCAGTCCAACACAAACGACCAATTCAAGAAGAGGTGTCTGTGATCACTGTGATCTGTCCATTTCAGCGACCAGGTGGGAGGGGTGGGAGTCATATGTTTACGATTCATGGCTGACCTAGGACGGGATCAACGCATCCCAACAACTAGTAGCTTCTTGTTACTACTAGTAAGGCACTTGTTACTAGAAGCGATGCACTTGTTACTAGTAATATCTGATATCTTCCGTCTTGTTCTAGTAAGGCACTTGTTACTACTAGTAAGGCACTTGTTTCTAATAGCTTCTTGTTACTAGTAAGGCACTTGTTACTACTAGCGATGCACTTGTTATTACTAGTGGTGCATGTTCAACTCCGACCTGTTGCGGAAGAGACCCCTGGCAGCTGGTCACTCGGTTTGTGCTTGGTCACACATGGCGTGCCATGTTCTGCACGGCACACTCGGTGAGACTCTTGGGACTGACGTTCTCTGGACGTTCAAATTGAGGGCATGATTGTTGTGCCTTTAACAATGTGTGACTGCTTCTTTGGAGGGTTGGAGTCTGAGGGAGTTAAGCAGGTATATAAATCATTATCGTGCGGATTCGTGGTGATCTTTCCAGTCAACACCTCCTTACAACACATGCAGAAGGTGACCTCGATTTTGGCTCCCCTCTCCCCAGGACTCCCGCCTCCCGCCGACGGAGAAAAACTGCGAAAGACCCGCCTGACTCTGGGTCTCGTGAAGGGGCTCTTCCTGTGGCCAACGCACTGCACTCTTGCCGCCCTTGCCGGCCTTGCCGCCTGGTGGCCAACCCGCGCGCGGCGGTGTTTCTCGCGTGAAACACCCACGTGTCCAACGTTCGGGGCGAATTCGCTCAACAAGGAAATTGGGCGAATCACTCCTTGAGCACCAAGTTGGGCCGTGGGTAGTTTGGAGGCCATTGCTTCTAGGTCGGAGACTCCTGATCTTCCGCCAAATTGTGAACGGCTTCGGCTTTCGCTTCCAACCCCACCCGACCCCATCCCTGCGGTTCTGAGCGCCTTTGGATGACTCCCCAGCTTTTGCCATGGGAACACAATCAGCTCTCTTGCTCATCGCAGCTCGTTGCCACTGGCTAAACCACTGCCACAGGCTGTAGGTTTAGAGTCTCGATATGTCTCGATGCATATGGCAGTACTCGAACGTCTGGGTCATTACCAATGTCTTTCTTGCTTGCGAGCCAATGGTCGGGTCGACTCTGGGGAGCAGGAACAATCATGCCAAAGCCTGAGGTGGTTCCGATCCTCCAACCTACTAGCGATGGCCTCCAGGTGAACCACACTGGGAGAAAAAAGGACATGGGACAAGACCCCTCGTTGAAGCCCACGGGGCCCACCGTTCCGTTTCTCAGTTCCTTCTTCGGGTTTTTTGCAGTTCTCATGTCCACCACCATTGGCTGAACCTTCAACCTGCCGGAACATCACAGGCGTTTTTTTTCGATACCTTTCACAGCGAAGAAGGGCGCCCTGCTGAATTTTTCGGGTCACCCCTGACCTTCCCCGTCCCTGTCGCTCCGGCGCCGTTTCTTCTCGCGACGGAGCGGGCGCTCTCAGGGCGGCGCGTCGGGGGGCAGCGGAGGAGGCGCTTCTTCGGGCAACGGTGGCGCCTGAACGTTCGGTCCAACAGTGCGGAAACAACCAGAGTGTCGCGGATGTCTTTCGCAAGTCAAGGCGGTTCAGTTCAAAAAAGAATCATAACTTTTAAGATGGTTGAACTTAAAACAAAAACCATAATCAATCCCAATTCCTGCTTCAGTGCAATCCTCGTGTCTTGGTTTTATGTCGCTGGGTGCATGGTGCTTCCAGAGCTTCCATATGGTTCCACTTTATTAACGGCCAATCTCAGTTTGACAAGTAGGCCAAAATTAAGAATGTATGCGACAGGTTTAAGTTTTAAGATAAACACAAAAACACACAAACAAACACACACACACATTATGTGTGTGAACGCACATGTCATGCTGCCACCAGGTTCAATATAAAAAGGGATGCCAACCGCGCCGAGCCAACCAATATCCAAACATCAAGTGTGTGAATCTGACGAACATCCATAGATTTATGTCTAGTCAAGATTCTGTCAATCGCCCTTGCTTTCCACACAAAGGAATCATAACTGCGGACAGTGCCCACCCAAAAGTTATGATTCTTAAACATGCTATAGTTTCCCCCCAAAAAAATCATAACTGGTGACACAGTCCACCAAAAAGTTTTGATTCCAAAACGGTGTTATAGTTCCAAAAAAGAACCATAACTGGCAGCACTGGCTACCAAAAAGTTATGATTCCCAAAAAAGTTATAGTTCCAAAAAAAGAATCATAACTGGCTGCACTGGCTACCAAAAAGTTATGATTCCAAAATATTCCAAACAAAAAAGTTATGATTCCAAAAAAAACTATAGTTCCAAAAAAAGAACCATAACTTATGGTTCTTTTTTCCAAAAAGATGCATAGCCTAAATCTAACAAAAAGCCTTCAAAATCAATTGTGTTTGCTAGTTTTGAGCTATGTGTTTTAGTGAAAAACCTAGATTTACAGAGCCCCAAACTAGCAAACACGTTTGATTTTGAAAGGTTTTTGATAGTTTTTGGCTATGATTTTTTGAAAAAAGAATCATAAGTTATGGATCTTTTTTTTGGAACTATAACTTTTTTTTGGAATCATAACTTTTTGGTAGCCAGTGCAGCGAGTTATGG